AGCCAAGACTATAGACTGATCTATAGTCAAGACTATAGACTGATCTACTGTTTTATAATCAAGACTACCGAATGATCTACATGACAGGATTATATTCTGATCTATGGTCAACAATGTAGAATGATCGATATTCAAGACAATAAACTGATCGATGGTAGAGATTGTAGACTGATCTAGAGTCAACACTCTATACTGATCTATAGTCAAGATTATAGACTGATCTATTGTCAACTTTTGCCTTTCGTCGATCCATTTTACACATTCGAAAAGTACATATTGCACTATAGACTGATGTCTGGTCATGCTATTGACCGATCCATAGTCTTGATATAATATTATATAAATGATATTAACTTATCTCTAACATTATCAAGATTATAGGCTGAACTGTCTAAGGCTGATCTTTAGAGTGATCTATGGTCATGACATAAAACGGTATTTTGCCTATAGCTAGGACTGGTTTATTAAATTTACAACACTAACCAAACAAACACTTCTTCATAAATATTCTTTGTCAAGTAATTATAATTCTCATTATTCATCTTGCTAATATTGTTTTGTCTTTAATGTCTCTAAGGATAATGTTTCCTTTTACTAATTTTGTTTTTATATCCTGCACCAACACTTGTGTTGTACTAGGGTATGTGTTTGGTCTTACGTTGTGTCTACAGCATCTGGAAATATACATACATGTCATATATTTAATAAGTTCTAAGTCTATGTAGCTTTATGCTAAAATCTTTAGAAATCCAAATGTCATCATTTGAAGATCATTTTATATTATGCTTTCTATATTTATAGGCGATACCTATAATTACACCTGAAATTTTTTTATAGATTTGTTAGCCTTTTTCTATTTACACAACCAAAAAAACCATCCTTTTCTCCTTAATATATTGATTTTCTATGAAATATTAAATTACTAATTTTGATTTATTTTTTCTCACTACTCATCCCATTATCTAGTCCACAAATCTCTAATTCCCTGCACGTTTTTCTTATTAATTTTTCCTTTAATAATAATTCCTTTTTAGAACAAATGTTGCCATCACCATATTAATAGTGTTACAACAATAAAAAAAAACTTTTATTCTATTCATTTGATATTGTCCATAAAGTTCATTTATTTAAGTTTATTTTACTACATATTTTATTACCTTCATCAAGTTTTTCAAACAAAATAGATTTAGTGTCAAATTATCTTCTTTGTTCTTTATCTTTCTGTTACTTAAACTAAAAGTTAAACTTATGAAAAGTTTTTTTTTGTTTTTTCCGGTTTTATTTATTTAAGAATTTTCCATATTTTATGAGTGACAAACGCAAGTGTGCTGGTTAAGTAAATAAAAATTTTGACACATTAGTTAGTTTAAAAACTATTAAATAATAAAACGATATTAATAATGTGACTGTTCAAGTGTTCTTTAGAGCTATATGAACTGAAACCAAAAAGTATATTTTCCAGACTATAGAGTAATCTATAGCCTGGATTAAAGTCTGATCTACTCTCATCTACAAAGATGGATCTACATTCTCCATTAATCTGATCTATAGTCAAGACTACAGAGCGATCTATAGTCAAGACTACAGACTGATCTAGAGTCAAGACTATGAACTTGTCTACAGCTAAGACTGGTCTATGGTCAAGATTATCTATAATCAAGATTCTAGACTGATATAATGTCAAAACTATAGACTGATCTGTTGGAAAGTCTGTGAATTGATCTGTAGGAAAATCTCACAACTAGTCTTTAGTCAAGATTATAGACTGATCTATAGTTAAGACTATGAACTTATCTATAGCCAAGATTGCACTATTGTCAAGATTTTCTATAAAAAATATTCTAGATTGATAAATAGCCGAGGCTATGGACTGATCAATAGTCAATACTATAGACTGAACTATAGTCAATACTATAGACTGATTCATAGTCAAGTCTGACTGATCTATAGTCAAGACTGTAAGCTGATATATAGTCAAGACTATAGACTGATCTATATTCAAGAACATAGACTGATCTCTAGTCAATACTATAGACTGATCTATAGTCAAGACTATAAACTTATCTATAGTCAAGACTATAAACTTATCTATAGTCAAGACTATAGAATGATCTAAAGTCAAGACTATAGACTGATCTATGACTAATCTATAGTCAAGTCTTAAGACTGTTCAATAGACAAGACTTTAGATCGCTCTGAAGTCAAGACTATAGACTGATCTATAGTCAATACTATAGACTGATATATAGTGAAGACTATAGACTGATCTATGTTCAAGACTATAGACTGATCTATAGTCAAGACAATAGACAGATATATAGTCAAGACTATAGACTGATATAGTCAAGACTATAGACTGATCTATAGTCAAGACTATAGACTGATCTATAGTCAAGACTATAGACTGATCTATAGTCAAGACTATAGACTGATCTGTAGTCAAGACTATAGACTGATCTATAGTCAAGACTATAGACTGATCTGTAGTCAAGACTATAGACTGATCTATAGTCAAGACTATAGACTGATCTATAGTCAAGACTATAGACTAACCTATAATCAAGACTACAGACTGATCTATAGTCAAGACTATAGACTGATCTATAGTCAAGACTATAGACTGATCTATAGTCAAGACTATAGACTGATCTATAGTCAAGACTATAGACTGATCTATAGTCAAGACTATAGACTGATCTATAGTCAAGACTATAGACTGATCTATAGTCAAGACTATATACTGATCTATAGTCAAGACTATAGACTGATCTGTAGTCAAGACTATAGACTTATCTATAGTCAAGTTTATAGACTGTTCTATAGTCAAGACTATAGACTGTTCTATAGTTAAGACTATAGACTGTTCTATAGTCAACACTATAGACTGATCTATAGTCAAGATTATAGACTGATCTATAGTCAAGACTATAGACTGATCTATAGTCAAGACTATAGAATGATCTATAGTCGAGACTATAGACTGTTCTATAGTCAAGACTATAGATTGATTTATAGTCAAGACTATAGACTTATTTATAGTCAAGATTATAGACTGTTCTATAGTCAAGACAGATCTATAGTCAAGGCTATAGACTGATCTATAGTCAAGGCTATAGACTGATCTATAGTCAAGGCTATAGACTGATCTATAGTCAAGACTATAGACTGTTCTATAGTCAAGACTATATACTGATCTATAGTCAATATTATAGTCTGACCTGTTGTCAAGGCTATATATAGACTGATCTATTGTCACATCTATAGATTGATCTATAGTCAAGACTAGTCAATACTGATCTTTAGTCAAGACTTTAGACTGATCGATAGTCAAGACTATAGACTGATCTATATTCAAGACTATAGAATGATCTATAGTCGAGACTATAGACTGTTCTATAGTCAAGACTATAGATTGATTTATAGTCAAGACTATAGACTTATTTATAGTCAAGATTATAGACTGTTCTATAGTCAAGACAGATCTATAGTCAAGGCTATAGACTGATCTATAGTCAAGGCTATAGACTGATCTATAGTCAAGGCTATAGACTGTTCTATAGTCAAGACTATATACTGATCTATAGTCAATATTATAGTCTGACCTGTTGTCAAGGCTATATATAGACTGATCTATTGTCACATCTATAGATTGATCTATATTGAAATCTTTAGACTGATCTGCAGTCAAGTATACGGACTGATATATTGTCAATGCCTATGGACTTATCTATGGTACATAGGCTTATCTATAGACGCAACTATAGTCTGGGTTATGCACTAGTCTATAGTCTATATAAAATCAAGTCTGTAGATTGATCATTAATAAGGCTTTATATCTATCTATAGATTGATCCTCAGTCTGGATTATAGACTGATCTATATTAATTTCTATATACATCATTACACGTTTTTCATCTATTGTTATACCCTACACCACTATAGTGTGGAGGGTATTATACGGGACGAAGCCTATTGAAAATTATTGAAATCGTTCTATTATTTCAACTAGCCCCCATACAACCGTACCTCCCGATTTGGGCTTTTTATGCCATAATTACGTCAAATACTATTACCTCTCCAAAAATTGGTACAAATCAGTTTTATATGATACTGCAGATTTTCGTAATGATCCGCCTTATTTGACATAACTAACTTTTATTTAAAAATATATCTTTTTTCCAAATTTAATGAGGATCGGCCCATGTTTGACCTATACTCCTATATAAATCCTAATTTAGAAAATTTGGTTTTTTATCAATAAATTCCTTAAATACTTTGGAATTAAGGTAAAATTCAATCTAAAAGTTTCTTTATGAAAAATTTTTGAAATATATATACCATTCTTGTTTTTTTTAAGGCCTCTATGGACGAAAGTGGAGATAACCAGTATTGCTTCAATACTTTTGCTTAGGTCTTAAAATGTAACAAAACCATTAATATATAGACCTAACAATGTTGAAACTTCAGTGAAATAGTAATATAACTCTACCTACACAAGAGAACAAAATTCTTACGCTCTTTCTCTCTAATACACACATTTTATCCTTAAACAGCCGTAACAAAAATAACTGTATCTTTAGAGTATATACATGAGTACTATAGTATGTGTGTGTTGTTAAGAGACTTTGTTTCTCTTATTCTCTGTGTTTACGCATTATATCCGAAAACAGCTGTAGCAAAAATAACTGTTTTGTTAAATTGTTTATTTTCCTGTTTACACTTGTGTGTGTAAATATATGTATGGTTAATACTCTCTCCCTCTCTTTTAGCATTTCCTTAATTTATCCAAAAACAGCTGTAGCAAAAATAACTGTTTTGTTTAATAATACTACGATAGAAATTTACTTGTGTGAATTTATGTTTGAGTACGATAAATAGAAACTGTTGTAACTACAACAACAATAAGTTACAACTGTTGACTCTGTACGAATGCTCTCCTGCTTATGCTGTCTTGAGGTATATAAATATAAAGTGTCTGAACACAGGAAACTTTAGTAGCAGTTTAACTTCCGACGGTTTCATAACAAGTCTCTGGAAAAAGAAAAAGTTAACGGATAAAATGGCGGTGAATTATAAAAAAATTTAAAGAATTATAAATAGAAGAAATACATACATATATTATGTAGGTATATGTGAAAAATATAACAGTATTATTACCTATGTATGTGTGTATATAAGATGTGTTATTAAAAAAAGTTAAAAAAAGTACTACTACTTAATGGAAATAAATAATGTATGTTAAGTGTGTCTTTCTTTGTTGTTGTTATTATTGCGTGGTATAAAAATGATTTATAAAAGTTATTATTAAAATACATAAATGCATATACTTAAGAAAAGTAATAAAATAATGGAATGAAAAAAAGTTGTTACTTGAAAAAGTTTTTAATATGAAAAATTTTTGAAAATATAAAAAAGAAAATATGAATAATGAAATAAATGTTATTAAATGCTTGAAATGTTAATAACAAAATATAAAAAAAGTAAAAAATATTTAAATAAAATTTATAAAAACCAAATGAATAAAATTTAAGGAAAAAGTGAAAATTTCAAAAGAAAATGAAAAATTTTAAATGACAAAAATATATTTAAATATATAGTCACTTGTTTGTAGTCATTTGATTGATTTGATTGATACAAAATATCAACATATTTTACTTAAATTACCCAAAAATAAAAAAAATAAAATTTCTTGGACAAATTGCACAAATTTAACACACAATAACAAATACATATATAACGTAATAAGTGGCAGTTACTTAAAATAACTTAATAATACAATAATTAGGAAAAATATTGATATTTGTAAATATTTATAAAATAATGAAAAGCAAATGAGATTGAAAACAAGTGCAAAGTTGAAACTTATTAATAAAAAAATTAAAAATATGGTAAACATTTTTAAGATAAAACTTAAAATAGTTTAAAGAAGGTTTCATATACTTCAATTCAAAATCTTTAATTGGTAATTGATATACTTCACATTTCTTGCCCATTTAGTATTGATAATTCTACTGTAAAATCTATTTAAAAAGTGATTAAATTATATTGTTTAATAATAGATTTAAAGTTTCTATGGCTTTGTTTTTGGTGTATTCTCTGGAACCAAGTGGAAAAAATGTTTCTCTAGATGACCCACGCAATAAATTTCGTAGTACAATAACCAAAAAATTATCTTCCTGTATAAAATTTACAAATAAACCCACACTTGAATATTCGTAATAAAATTATTTTTAAATCAAAGAAATTTCACAACAAATAATTAAAGAACTAGAACAGAACTAGAACAGAACTGGAACAGAACTAGAACTAGAACAGAACTAGAACAGAACTAGAACAGAACTGGAACAGAACTAGAACAGAACTAGAACAGAACTAGAACAGAACTAGAACAGAACTATAACAGAACTAAAACAGAACTAGAACAGAACTAGAACAGAACTAGAACAGAACTAGAACAGAACTAGAACAGAACTAGAACAGAACTAGAACAGAACTAGAACAGAACTAGAACAGAACTAGAACAGAACTAGAACAGAACTAAAACAGAACTAAAACAGAACTAGAACAGAACTAGAACAGAACTAGAACAGAACTAGAACAGAACTAGAACAGAACTATAACAGAACTAGAACAGAACTAGAACAGAACTAGAACAGAACTAGAGCAGAACTAGAACAGAACTAGAACATAACTAGAACAGAACTAGAACAGAACTAGAACAGAACTAGAACAGAACTAGAACAGAACTAGAACAGAACTAGAACAGAACTAGAACAGAACTGAACAGAACTAGAACAGAACTAGAAACTAGACGAACTAGAACAGAACTAGAACAGAACTAGAACAGAACTAGAACAGAACTAGAACAGAACTAGAACAGAACTAGAACAGAACTAGAACAGAACTAGAACAGAACTAGAACAGAACTAGAACAGAACTAGAACAGAACTAGAACAGAACTAGAACAGAACTAGAACAGAACTAGAACAGAACTAGAACAGAACTAGAACAGAACTAGAACAGAACTAGAACAGAACTAGAACAGAACTAGAACAGAACTAGAACAGAACTAGAACAGAACTAGAACAGAACTAGAACAGAACTAGAACAGAACTAGAACAGAACTAGAACAGAACTAGAACAGAACTAGAACAGAACTAGAACAGAACTAGAACAGAACTAGAACAGAACTAGAACAGAACTAGAACAGAACTAGAACAGAACTAGAACAGAACTAGAACAGAACTAGAACAGAACTAGAACAGAACTAGAACAGAACTAGAACAGAACTAGAACAGAACTAGAACAGAACTAGAACAGAACTAGAACAGAACTAGAACAGAACTAGAACAGAACTAGAACAGAACTAGAACAGAACTAGAACAGAACTAGAACAGAACTAGAACAGAACTAGAACAGAACTAGAACAGAACTAGAACAGAACTAGAACAGAACTAGAACAGAACTAGAACTAGAACAGAACTAGAACAGAACTAGAACAGAACTAGTACAGAACTATGAATTGAAGAGCACTGAACAGTTGACATTCGAATTATTAGATGATCGCGTAATCTTCCCCTTTGTGATCTTCATTATCTCGGTATTTTAAGTTAAATATGATTTCAACAAGTAGGAAAGTATAATCAGGCATGGACGACCATTTGATACCCTACACCATGACTATATTTTAGAAATGATTTATTTTTCAAAAGCTACTTTTATGTTGAATTTTACCATAATTCCGATGTATTTAAGTAATTTATTGATGAAAAACAAAATTTCTAAAGGAGGCTTTATATGGGTGATAGGGTTAAATATGTGCCGATCGTCACGATTGGGAGGAGAAATGTTATATGTAAATTTTTAGACGTATGGGTCAAACGACGGCCGATCATTACAAAAATCTGCGTTATCATTTAGTCCTATATAAAATTTAGTATATTTGACGTAGTTATGAGTTAAAAACCCCAAAGCGGAAGTTGAGGTTGTATGGGGGCTAGGTGAAATAATGGGCTGATTTTAACTATTTTCAAAAGGCATCGTACTTGTGCCGAAAAACACCTACGGTCCAAATTTTATCAAAATTGTGGCCTGTAGCTTGCGCACAAAGTTAACATGGACAGCCAGCTGAGACAGACAAATGGACGGAAATGTCTTAATCTATTCAGAAAGTGATTCTGAGTCGATCGGCATACTTTAAGGTGATTACAAATATCAGGACAAACGCACAATACCCTCCCCCTATAGTGGTGTGGGGTATAATAATGTATGTATATTTAAACATTGAATTTAGAACAGTTAGGGAATGATATTTTAAAATTTACGTAAGATGTTCGGCAAACATATTCAATTTATTGTTTTAAACATACGTGGGAATTTTATTAATAATTTTCTATAGAACAAATAATTCAATTCAATATCAATCATACGTCAAGTGGGCTAAAAATTAGAAATATAAAATAGACTACAATATATGTATTATTTTCCTATAAAATCCAGAAAAATTACATAATTTGTATACTACTACAGAATTAAAACTTCTTTATTGAATAAAAAAATCTTTTGAAAATATTCAATATTTTGTAAATAAACACTTTACTTTTAATGGCAATGTGTCGTAAAAGTTTTTACAATATTTTTACAAACAAAATTACCCAATTTTACTAAACTTCTAATAGTCTGCTCTTACGATGTCTTATATTAATTTATTTAATGTTTTCTGTCTGACATTTATATATATTCTGCATAAAATATTTAATGAAATTGTTACAAAAATGTTTGTTGAATTTGTCTTTTGTAAATAATAAATGTTTTAATAAGAAAAGTATCTATAAAATACAAAATTTTATGATGTTTTTGAAAAAGTTCTAAGTAGAAAATGATTTTGGTTTTGTAGAAAAACAAATTTAGATCATTATTTTTGTTTGTTATTTTTTAAAAATTTTATATAAGAACAATTTTATTTGTCTTTTACATTTCTAAGAATTTTGTAAAATTAATTGTTTAATATTTAAATTAAAGAAAGTCTGTTTTTTAAGGGTTTCTTGTTATTTTAAATTACAAGCTGAACTAGAATATACAAATTATTTTAAATGTATTGTTTATAGGAAATATGTATGTATTTTATTCATAAACAACAAAAAATACAAAGAAAAAAGTTTTCTGGTTCAAATACCCCAAAGTAATGATGCTTTACATTTACACATGTGTGTTTTTTAAATTATTTAGTAAAAAATATATAAACATGTATGTTTAAAAGAAAGGACTAAAAAAATACCGTACCCTACAAAGCCCAGCAAATTTAGTAGGAGTAAATGGATCCTTTAAAGGAATAAAGACGAAATGCATTGTCCACTAAAAGTTATATATGTTTTGCTCATTCCAATAACTAACTAACTAACTAACTAACTACTAACTAACTAACTAACTACTAACTAACTAACTAACTAACTAACTAACTAACTAACTAACTAACTAACTAACTAACTAACTAACTAACTAACTAACTAACTAACTAACTAACTAACTAACTAACTACTAACTAACTAACTAACTAACTAACTAACTAACTAACTAACTAACTAACTAACTAACTAACTAACTAACTAACTAACTAACTAACTACTAACTAACTAACTAACTAACTAACTAACTACTAACTAACTAACTAACTAACTAACTAACTAACTAACTAACTAACTAACTAACTAACTAACTAACTAACTAACTAACTAACTAACTAACTACTAACTAACTAACTAACTAACTAACTAACTAACTAACTAACTAACTAACTAACTAACTACTAACTAACTAACTAACTAACTAACTAACTAACTAACTAACTACTAACTAACTAACTAACTAACTAACTAACTAACTAACTAACTAACTAACTAACTAACTAACTAACTAACTAACTAACTAACTAACTAACTAACTAACTAACTAACTAACTAACTAACTAACTAACTAACTAACTAACTAACTAACTAACTAACTAACTAACTAACTAACTAACTAACTAACTAACTAACTAACTAACTAACTAACTACTAACTAACTAACTAACTAACTAACTAACTAACTAACTAACTACTAACTAACTAACTAACTAACTAACTAACTAACTAACTAACTAACTAACTACTAACTAACTAACTAACTAACTAACTAACTAACTAACTAACTAACTAACTACTAACTAACTAACTAACTAACTAACTAACTACT